AGTCTCCCTGTAATCTCAACTCAACTCTCCCTGTAATCTTAACTTAACTCAACTCTCCCCGTACTGTCAACTCAACTCTCCCTGAATCCTTAACTAAATTCCCGTAAACTCGACTCAACTCATTCCGTAAAGTCAACTTAACTCCATCCTTAATCTCAACTCATCTCTCCCAGTAAACTCAAGTTTCCCTGTAATCTCAAGTCAACTCTCCCTGTAATCTCCACTTAACTCAACTCTCTCCGTAAACTAAACTCACCTCTCCCCCTAATCTCAACTCAACTCACCCCGTAATCTCAACTTTACACTCCCTGTAATCTCAACTTAAACTCTTCCCGCAACTTCAACTAAACTCTCCCCGTAATCTCAACTCAACTCTCCCCATAATCTCAACTCTCCCGTAACGTCAACTTAACTGAACTCTCCCCGTAAACTCAAGGCTCCCTGTAATCTCAACTCAACTCTCTCTGTTATCTAAACTCAACTCTCCCTGTAATCTCCACTTAACTTAACTCTCTCCGAAAACTTTACTCATCTCTCCCCGTAATCTCAACTCAACTCACCACGTAACACTCCCTGTAATCTGAACTCAACTCTTACCGTAACCTCAACTAAACTCTCCCCTTAATCTCAACTCACCCTTTTATCTCAACTCAACTTTCCCTGTAATCTAGTCTTAACTTAACTCTCCCCGTAATCTCAACTCAACTCACCCTGTAATTTCAACTCAACTCTCCCTGTTATCTCCACTTAACTCAACTCTCCCCGTAATCTCAACTCAACTCACCCCGTAATCTCAACTTAACACTCCCTGTAATCTCATCTCAACTCTTCCCGTAACATCAACTAAACTCTCCCCTTAATCTCAACTCAACTCTCCCCATAATCTCAAGTCTTCCCATAATATCAACTCTATTCTCCCGTAATCTCAACTTAATTTAACTCTCCCCGTAATCTCAACTCTCCCCGTAACATCAACTTAACTCTCCCTGTAAACTAAACTCAACTCTCCCTGTAATCTCAACTCTTCCCGTAATCTCAACTAAATTTAACTCTCCCCGTAATCTCAACTTTATTTAACTCTCCCCGTAATTTCAACTTAACTCGCCCCGTAACCTCAATTCAACTCAACTCACCCTGTTATCTCGACTCAACTCTCCCTGTAATAACAACTCAACTCTCCCTGTAATCTCAACTTAACTCAACTCTCCGCGTAATCTTAACTCAACTCTCCCTGTAATCTCCACTTAACTGAACTCTCCCCGTAATCTCAACTCAACTCACCCCGTAATCTCAACTTAACACTCCCTGTTATCTCAACTCAATTCTTACCGTAACCTCAATTCAACTCTCCCATTAATCTCAACTCAACTCTCACTATAATCTCAATTCTTCGCGTAATCTCAACTCAACTCTCCCCATAATCTCAACTTAACTCAACCAATGACCTCAACTTAACACTGACTGTTAACTAAACTCAACTCTCCCAGTAACCTCAACTTAAGTCAACTCTCCCCCTAAACTAAACTCAAGTCTCCCTATTATCTCGACTTAACTCTCCCTGTAATCTCAACTTAATTGAACTCTCCCCCTAACCTCAACTCAACTCTTTCTGTAATCTCAACTCAAATTTCCCTGTATTCTTAACTTGACATAACTGTCCCCTTAATCTCAACTCTCCCCATAATCTCAACTCAATTCTCGCCTGAATCTCAACTTAACTCTCCCCGTAATCTCAACAGAATTCTCCTGTAATCTCAACTCTCCCCGTAACCTCAACTTTCCCTGTAATCTCAACTCAACTTTCCCTGTAATCTTAACTTAACTCTCTCTTTAATATCAACTCAACTCTCTCCATTCTCCTTGTAATCTCAATTCAACTCTCCCTGTAATCTCAAATTAACTTAACTCTCCTCGTAATCTCAACTCAACTCTCCCATAATCTTAACTCTCCCCGTAACCTCAACTCTCCCAAAAAACTCAACTCAGCTCTCCATGTAATCCCAACTCACCCTGTAATGTTAACTTAACTCAACTCTCCCCGGAATATCAACTCAACTCTCCCGGTAACCTCAACTAAACTCTCCCTGTAAAATCAACTCAACTCCTCCCGTAAACTCAACACCACCATTAATCTCATCTCATCTCTGCCCGTAACCTCAACTCAACTCAGTCCGTAAACTCAACTCTACCCGTAATCTCAACTTAGCTGAACTCTCCCCGTAAACTCAAGTCTCCCTGTAATATCAACTCAACTCTCCCTGTAATCTCAACTCATCTCACCCTGTAATCTCCACTTAACTCAACTCTCTCCGTTAACTAAACTCAACTCTCCCTGTAATCTCAACTCACCCCGTAATCTCAACTCAACTCTCCCTGTTATCTCAAATTAACTCAACTCGCTCCGTAAACTAACTCAACTCAACCGTAATCTCCACTCAACTCTTCCCGTTACCTCAACTAAACTCTCCCCTTAATCTCAACTTAACTCTCACCGTAATCTCAACTCTTCCCCTAATCTCAACTCAACTCTCCCCGTAATCTCAACTCAACTTAACACTCACTATAAACTAAACTCAACTCTCCCCGTTATCTCAACTCTTTCCGTAACCTCAACTTAACTGAACTCTCCCCGTAAACTCAAGTCTCCCTGTAATCTCAACTGAAGTCTCCCAGTAATCTCAACTCAACTCACCCTGTAATCCCCACTTAACTCAACTGTCTCCCTAAACTAAACTCAACTCTCCCTGTAACCTCAACTCAACTCACCCCGTAATCTCAACTCAACTCTCCCTGTTAACTCAAATTAGCTCAACTAGCTCTGTAAACTAAACTCAACTCAACCCGTAATCTCCACTCAACTCTTCCTGTTACCTCAACTAAACTCTACCCTTAATCTCAACTCTTCCCGTAATCTCAACTCAACTCTACCCATAATCTTAAATTAATTAAACTCTCCCCGTAATGTCAACTAAACTCTCCCCGTAATCTCAACTTAACTCAACCCAAAATCTCAAATCAACTCTCTCGTAACCTCAAATTAACTGAACTCTCCCCGTAAACTCTAGTCTTCCTGTAATCTCGACTCAACTTTTCCATAATCTCAACTCTCCCTGTAACCTCAACTTGGCTGAACTCTTCCCGTAAACTCAAGTCTCCCTCTAATATCAACTCAACTCTCCCTGTAATCTCAACTTAACTCAACTCTCTCCGTAAACTAAACTCAACTTTCCCTGTAATCTCAACTCAACTCATCCCGTAATCTCAACTTAACACTCCCTGTAATCTTAACCCAACTCTTCCAGTAACCTCAACTAACCTCTCCCCTTAATCTCAACTTAACTTTCCCTGTAATCTTAACTCAACTTTCCCCGTAATCTCAACTCTCCCGGTAACCTCAACTCAAGTATCTCTGTAATCTCAACTCAACTCGTAATCACAACTTAACACTCCCTGTAATCTCAACTCAACTCTCCCTGTTATCTCCACTTAACTCTCTCCGTAAACTTAACTCATCCCGTAATTTCAACTTAACACTCCCTGTAATCTCAACTCAATTCTTACCGTAACCTCAACTCAACTCTCCCCTTAATCTCAACTCAACTCTCACTGTGTTTAAATGTCAATTCTTCCCGTAATCTCAACTCAACTCTCCCCGTAATCTCAACTAAACTCAACTCTCCCCGTAACCTCAACTTAAGTCAACTCTCCCCCTAAACTCAACTCAACTCTCCCTATTATCTCGACTCAACTCTTCCCGTAATCTCAAATAAACTTTCCCTGTAATCTTAACTTGACATAACTCTCCCCTTAATCTCAACTCTCAACATAATCTCAACTCTCCCCGTAATCTCAACTCATCTCTCCTCTTAACTCTCCCTGTAATCTCAACTGAATTCTCCTGTAATCTCAACTCTACCTGTAACCTCAACTTTCCCTGTAATCTCTACTCAGCTTTCCCTGTAATCTTTACTAAACTCTCTCCTTAATATCAACTCAACTCTCACCATAATCTCCATTCTCCCAGTAATCTCAACTAAACTCTCCCTGTAATCTCAAATTAATTTAACTCTTCCCGTAATCTCAACTCTCCCCGTAACCTCAACACAACTCTCACTGTAATCTCAATTCTTCCCGTAATCTCAACTCAACTCTCCCCGTAATCTCAACTGAACTCAACTCTCCCCGTAACCTCAACACAACTCTCACTGTAAACTAAACTGAACTCTCCACGTAACCTCAACTTAGGTCAACTCTCCCCCTAACTTCTCCCTATTATCTCGACTTAACTGTCTTTGTTATCTCAACTCAATTCTCCCTGTAATCTCAACTTAATTGAACTTAATTTCATAAACTCAACTTAACTCCATCCTTAATTTTAAGTCATCTCTCCCCGTTACCTCAACTTAACTCAACTCTCCCCGTAAACTCAAGTCTCCCTGTAATCTCAACTCAATTCTCCCTGTAATCTCCACTTAACTCAACTCTCTCCATAAACTAAACTCAACTAAACTCTCCCCTTAATGTCAACTGATCCGACAACTCTCACCGTAATCTCAACTCAACTCTCCCTGTAATCTCAACTTAACTCTCCCCGTAATCTCAACTCAAATCTCCCCGTAATCTCAACTCTCCCGTAACCTCAACTTAACTGAACTCTCCCCGTAAACTCAAGTCTCCCTGTTACCTCCACTTAACTCAACTCTCTCCGAAAACTTAACTCAACTCTCCCCGTAATCTCAACTCAACTCACCACACAACACTCCCTGTAATCTGAACTCAACTCTTACCGTAACCTCAACTAAACTCTCCCCTTAATCTCAACTCTCCCCGTAATGTCAACTCAATTCTCACCAAAATCTCAACTTAATTTAACTCTCCCGTAATCTTAACTAAACTCTCCCCATAATCTCAACTCTCCCTGTAACCTCAACTTAACTCTCACTGTAAACTCAACTCTTCGCGTAATCTCAACTTAACTCTCCCCGTAAACTCAACTCAACTCTCCCCATAATCTAAACTTAACTCTCCCCGTAATCTCAACTCAACTCTCCGTTATCTCCACTTAAGTCAACTCTCTCCATAAAGTAAACTCAACTTTCCCCGTAATCTAAACTCAACTCTCCCCGTAATCTCAACTTAACTCTCCCCGTTAACTCAACTCAACTCTTCTAATAATCTCAACTTAACTTACCCCTTAATCTCAACTCAACTCTCCCCGTAATGTCAACTCAACTCTCCCCGTAAACTCAACTCCCCATAACCTCAGCTCTCCCCTTAACCCATCACTCTACTTTCCTCTTCAACTCTTCACATAACTCTCCCCCTAACTAAACTAGAATGAAAACTGGTTTATTGAAAATATCATAGGAAAAAGTTTAAGAAATTCAGCAGGTTAATGATATGTTCACAACACAATATAAAGTTGGTGATTGACACATTCCTTCCAAGTGATAATATATGCATAATGTCTGTTCTTCTATTACACATCCATAGTTTGAAGTATGTTTCCTGAAATATAAAGAAATACACATTTTATTATATTTTTTTTTTCAAAAAATAATTTATCAACTTGGCAGTATTCTTATTTTCTTAAAGACACCACCTCTGATAATTTCAGCATAAAAGGCAGTTGAGAATCACAATGCAATGTTGATAACTAACATCTGAAAATATTTATTTACTTCACAGCGTTTGAAACCGATGTATCATAATTATACAATTATTAACCAAACAATTAAAAGAGGGCGAAAAATTTTATACTAAATGTACATTATTTTTCAAATACCATTTGTTTTTCCTAAAAAATTGATCTATAGTAAAAACACTACGAGGCATGATTATAAAGATCAAAAAGATATAAAATTCTTATATTTGTACATTCTTTTATTCAAATTAAAGCATACTGAAGAAAAAGGTTGTGGGAAATTATCAAGTTACCTATGACTGCCATGTATATATGTAGTTTCTGTCATCTTATCAGATCTGTATCTGCTAGGATTGGTTTCCCTGAAACAACAATCATTATTTTTGAGTTGGATTGTAGCTTTAAGTGCAATACGTTCTTTCTCCCTGAGATTTCTGCACTTCTAATCTCAGTGAGATCTATCTCCCTACATAGTTTCATGTTTTATACCTTTTATAGTTCTATAGTTATGTCTCAGACAATGTTCAAAATGTAAAAATGAACAAAGGCAATAACTTCAAAATTTTGGCAGGGAGGGTTATGGGTCTTCTGCACTGCACTTCTACTCAAGGCTATATACCTCTAAAGTTTCACGTTGATACCTTTTATAGTTCTCAAATTATGTCCAGGACAAAATTCAAAGTGTCAAAATGAAAAAGGGCAAAAAACTTCTGAACTGCACTTCTGCTCATTCAAATGTATCAGCTTCATGTTGATACCTTTAGGTTAAAATAAATTCCCCAAATTAATTTTCCCAGCAAAGTTCCCCAAAATTTTAAAAATTTAACAAAGGGCCCAAAAACTAAATCCAAAATAAGAGAAGGGATAATAACTGTTATTATGCTCTGCACTTCCACTCAGTTAGATATATCTACCTACAAAGTGTTAAGTTGATATGTTACAGACAAAGTTCTAAGTGTAAATATGAACAAAGGGAAATAACTCCAAATTAGGCAAGGCAGAGTTAAAGTTCTTTTGCAATGTACTTCTACTCAATAAGATATATCTACCTACACAGTTTCTTGTTAATAACAAGAAACCCCTTGTGGTTTTAGAGTTATGTCCCAGACAAAGTTCTAAGTGTAAAAATAAACAAAGGACAATAACTCCAAAATTAGGCAAGACAGAGTTATCTTTGTTTGCACAGCACTTCTACCCAATGAGATCTATCTACCTACAAAGTTTCATGTTGATAGCTCTTATAGTTTAAGAGTAATGTCCAGTAATGTCCAGGTCAAAGTTCAAAGTGTAAAAATAAACAAAGGGCAATAACCCCCTAATTAGGCAAGACAGAATAATGATTCTTTAGCACTGCACTTCTACCCAATGTGATCTATCTACCTACAAAGTTTCATGTTGATACCTCTTATAGTTTTAAAGTTATGTCCAGGACAAAGTTCAAAGTGTAAAAATAAACAAAGGGCAATAACTCCAAAATTAGACTAGACAGAGTTATGTTGTTTTTTTTTTTTGCACTGCACTTTTACCTAATGTGATCTATCTACCTACAAAGTTTCATGTTGATAGCTCTTATAGTTTTAGAGTTATGTCCAGGTCTAAGTTTAAAGTATAAAAAAAAAGGGCAATTACTCCAAAATTGAGCAAGACAGAATTATGATTATTAAGAACTGCACTTCTACAAAATGAGATCAATCTATCTATAAAGTTTCATGTTGATATCTCTTAAAGTTTTAAAATTATGTCCAAGATAAAGTTCAAAATGTAAAAATAAACAAAGGGCAATAACTCTAAAATTAGGCAAGATAGAGTTATGGTTCTTTTGCACTGAACTTTCACCCAATGCGATATACATGTATCTACCTACAAAGTTTCATGTTGATATCTTTTATAGTTTTAGAGTTATGTCACGGACAAAATTCAAAGTGTAAAAATAACAAAGGGCAGTTAAATTCCAAAATACATTTACTCAAGGAGATCTATCTACATACAAAGTTTCATGTTGATACCTCTTGTTGTTTCAAAGTTATGTCTTGGACAAGAATAGCAAACAGATGGACAAAGCGGCTATGGGGAATATAAAAATTCAAATATAAAAATTCAAAGATATCACAAGAAGAACATCGTTATATTTCCTATAACTTGCCCATGCAACCACATGTATTCATCACATCAACTGACTTCTTAAAGGGACTCCACTGAGGTTTTTTGACATGATGGGACTGAAAATATTTTTTCCAGATAAATGTACCATTTGATGTAGGTTTCAGATCATTCGCGCACTTTGTTTTTACAGAATATTTATTCAAATTGTAAAACAAGAGCGATCAATAATCACATGTGTCGCCTCATGATGGCCAATTTCATGTTGGGACAAGTTTTGTGACAGATGGACAGACAGACGGACAGTGCACAACTAGACTTGGTACTGATCATTCCTGTAAAGTTTGGATAAAATTGCACCAGTAGTTTATGAGGAGAAGTCCGGACAAGCTTTTGTGTATCTGGCAACACACAGAAAAAAACACCTTTTTATCAAAGGGCCATAACTCAGCCAACAAGAGCCACCGCCGGGCGGGGGCAAGGCTCGACTTTTTACTTTTTCTAAATGCAAACATATAGAAAGATTTGAACATATCTTAACGTTTCCTTTTTATAAATTTAGTTGGTCTGTCTTGTCACATTTAGTTTTGTTTATCTATTTTGTATATATATATGAATAGAAACACGCAATTCTATAAATAGAAACACGCAATTTCTAAAAATAGAAACATTGCGCAATTTCTAAAAATAGAAACATTACGCAATTTCTAAAAAAAGCAACATTACGCAATTTCTAAAAATAGAAACATTACGCAATTTCTAAAAATAGAAACATCAATTTCTAAAAATAGAAACATCAATTTCTAAAAATAGAAACATTACGCAATTTCTAAAAATAGAAACATTATGCAATTTCTAAAAAAAGAAACATCAATTTCTAAAAATAGAAACATTATGCAATTTCTAAAAATAGAAACATTATGCAATTTCTAAAAATAGAAACATCAATTTCTAAAAATAGAAACATTACGCAATTTCTAAAAATAGAAACATTACGCAATTTCTAAAAATAGAAACATTACGCAATTACTATAAACAAAATCATTACGCAATTACTAAAAATAGAAACATTACGCTAAAAATAGAAACATTACCCAATTTCAAAAAATAGAAACATTACGCAATTTCTAAAAATAGAAACATTACGCAATTACTAAAAATAGAAACATTACGCAATTACTAAAAAAAGAAACATTACGCAATTACTAAAAATAGAAACATTACGCAATTACTAAAAATAGAAAAATTACGCAATAACTAAGAATAGAAACATCAATTTCTAAAAATAGAAACATAACGCAATTTCTAAAAATAGAAACATCAATTTCTAAAAATAGAAACATTACGCAATTTCTAAAAATAGAAACATCAATTTCTAAAAATAGAAACATTACGCAATTTCTAAAAATAGAAGCATTACGCAATTTCTAAAAATAGAAAAATTACGCAATTACTAAGAATAGAAACATTACGCAATTACTTAGAATAGAAACATTACGCAATTACTAAGAATAGAAACATTACGCAATTTCTAACAATAGAAAAATTACGCAATTCTATAAATAGAATGTTGTTGTTGTTGTTGTTGATGATGATGATGATGATGATGATGATAGATCTGTTCTGTTATGATATGAAGTTGATCCCTTCAATAATAGCAAAGTTACAGTCAGTTACCGCCAAAACAATGAAAATTTCAATAATTTGACCTTCAAAGACAATGTCATTAATGAGTGAAGGTCAAGATCTTTCGGTATATTTTTAACAGTTATCTCTGAAGATTATTATGTTCAAGTTTCAAGACAATCCATTCAAAAAAAACAAAGTTACAGCCAATAATAGCCAAAAAAATGAATATTTCAATAATTTGACCTTCAAAGTCAAGGTCATTTATGAGTGAAGGTCAAGGTCTGTCTAGTTATTTTTAAGGGATATCCCTGAAGACAATCCAAAAGTTCAAGTTTGAAGACAATCCAAAAAAAAAAATAACAAAGTTACAGCCAATAATAGCCAAAAAAAATGAAAATTTCAATAATTTGACCTTCAAAGTCAAGGTCATTTATGTGTGAAGGTCAAGGTCTGGCTGCTTATTTTTAAGGGATATCCTTGAAGATTATTATGTTCAAGTTTGAAGACAATCCATTCAAAAATAACAAAGTTACAGCCAATAACAGCATGAACAAGCAAAAATTGGACTTTTAACCTTGAAGGTCAAGGTCATTTATGGATGAAGGTCAAGGTTAGTGTGGTCTTCTGAAAGGTCTTGTCCCAAGGGTTGTTGTGGCCAAGTATGAAGACAATACACCAAGAAATAAAAAAGTTATGATCCAGGTACAAGTTTGCGGACGGGAACGGCAACGCCGACCCAATTATAACAATACCTCTACCTTTTTTTTCCAAAAAAAAAAAGTCGAGCTAAAAATCATTCAACCGGAAAACCCGTGCAATATGCGCAACAACTTGAGCTACAGATCTATCCTGTAAAGTTTCATTGAAATTGCATTAGTGGTAAAAGAGAAGTCACAAGTCCGGACAAACTTTAAAAATAAAAATTATTAATGGGCCGTAACTCTGACATAAATCATTGAACCAGAAAATGCTGACAATATGCACAACTAGACTTGGTACTGATCATTCCTGTAAAGTTTGGATGAAATTGCACCAGTAGTTTATGAGGAGTAGTCTGGACAAGCTTTTGTGTATCTTGCAACACACAGAAAAAAACACCTTTTTATCAAAGGGTCATAACTCGGCCAAAAATCATTCAACCGGAAAACCCGTGCAATATGCGCAAGGACTTGAGCTACAGATCAATCCTGTAAAGTTTCAATGAAATTGCATTAGTGGTATAAGAGAAGTAGTCCGGACAAACTTTAAAAATAACTAGAAATGTGTCATCATGCCACGGATGCCCCCGCATGCAGCCAAAATTTCAAATGTTATAATATTTAGTTCCAAATTTGTTTGCACAAATTATTTTCTTCATTTTAAGTTCAAAGCCCTTAAAACTTTTCAATGTTAACACAAACCATTTTCATACAATGTTCAAGGCACTGAAATTATTCAGTCTAAACCTTTTGAAAATAGCATATTTCATATTTGTAGCCAAAAAATTGGCTACATACATTTCCACAAAAGTATAAGTGCTGAAACTGAAAGTTCAAAATTTTTCCAACATTCAAGAAAGATAAGTTTGTCCAAAATCATTGAACCACGACCAAATTCAAACTTAAACTGCTTATTCCTAAGATGTATCTATATT